ATAACCCCATAGGTGAAGTTTGAGAAATCTGTAGGGTCGTTAATAATCGGGTTTTTGTGGTGAACAAATCAGAGTATGAGAATGAAGAAGAACAATTGCTGTGTTTAATAAATCAAGAAAAATATTATGTGTGTGTTGACGTTAAACTATATTTATACTGATATGTGTCTGTATAAAAAAAAAAAAAAAAAAATTGAAATGATTGAACCCTTAAAAAAGAATTTCAAATCTATTGACAATAAAAAATGTTTCCAATACTCGAGTTACACTATCTGTAAATGAAATTTGTATTTAATTGAAATTTTTTTATTTTTTTTTTTTTTTCATTAAAATGTTTTTTAACCATTCGTTTCTAAAACAAGTGAGTATCGATCTTTCAACAAAACAGTAGTCCCATCAAATTTAGTATCCTACGTTTCATTGTTCTCTCGTAATTTCATTCGAATTCGTTTGGTAGGTAGCCTCCTCCCGGTGGTCGTCGCTATGGAGGATGTCAAAACGTTCATCGATCCAAGTGAACGTGATTTCATGGTACACGGAACGAAATGATAAGGTTAACTCATTCGACATAATTTTCTATGAATGTAAAATAATTCAAAAAAAAAAAAAAAATAGAAAAGATAAAAATAATTATAATAATAAAAATATTTAAAGAAAATAACGTGTGTGCAAATCACACAAGTCAGAAGTGAATCTTTAAAAAAAAAAATCAAATTTCAAGAAAATGAGACGAGTGTATAATATCAGGAGTAGGATAATTTATTATATTATTATTTTTACTTTTTTTCTGTAATTATTTATTTAATAATTTAAAAAATGTGCGCCTGTACTTATGCAACCCTCCAGACAGACTTTCAAAATGCTGCTTGCGAGTGACATCTATCGGAACGGAATTTTTTCTGCCCGAAAGATAGGCAACCTGTAATACATACTAGTATAACCAGTTTGGATTGAAAAAAAATTTCGTCCCAGTAGATGACGCTCGCAAGCAACTTTTTCAAAGTGTGTCTGAAGAGTTGCATAACTACAGGCGCAATATTTTTATAAATAATGATAAAAATTAAACTTACCATGTAATTTGTATTTTACATGAAAAATAACATTCTAAAGAAGTTTTTACTTCAAATAAAAAAAAAAAAAAAAAAAATTCACAAATTTTCTTACGAATATTCTTCTACAAAAATTTAATAATAACGTTTATCTACAGTAATCACAAAAGTTTCTCAATTTATCATATTCCACCTAAACCAACCCGTTTTTCCATCCATCCATCCTTATATACATCATCAAGAGAGAAAACGTTTCAAGTAACAACTATTACCAAGAGAAATTCATGGAATCCGATATGAATGGTGGAAAGACACTTAGTTCAATGTCTCATCTTCGTCATCACAGCAGTAGTAGTAGTAGTAGTAGTGTTATAAGCGTTTCGCTAATCTAACTTGTGAAATTGTGCGAGAGAATTAAGATGGTCGTTTAAACTAAAGAAAGGAGAAAGTTAGTGAGAAAGTGAAAGTGTGAGAGAGAGAGAGAGAGAGAGAGAGAGAGAAATATATATATAGATATAGTAATAAGTAAAGGTAAAGATCTGAAAGGTACTTGATGCCATTGGTAGCAAGGAAGAGAGGAACCATGCCGTTGACAGTTTGTAAATGATCCAGTTTGCCGCCTGAGAAAGTGAGAAATAAGGGAAGAAGGGCTTACCTAAAGGAATAGGACAGATATAGGTATATATATATAAATTTAGAAAGAGAGATGTGGAAGAGGATAAATCTTGTTCCAAGAAAGGGAAATGAGTAGAGAAGAGAAGCCCTTTTGGAAAAGGGCTGAAATGATTCCCGTTAACTATTCATCTTCGTGGCTATCCAACAAACTTTCCTTTCCCGTTTTACTCGAACCTCATGAAATACTAAAACTGTTGCTAGACTAGTCTTCTTCTTATTCTTCTTGAAGTATTGCGAATACATAACTGATAAGAAATTGTTAAAGGAAGTTTATTCACAATCGTGAATTATATTAAACATTTTCTAAACATTTCATTTGACATTGTAAATAGGTAGCGTAACATTACATTATTATCTTTTTATTAAAAGCAATGAAAACAATTTTTAATTATTATAGCCTTCTATATTTATTGGATCAATATTTTTATATTGAAATATTTTAAATTAATTATATTAATATTCAAATATATTTTATTACAATATATTATAACTCTGATATAATTTTATTTTTATTATAAATTATTTTACTAAATATAATTATTAATTATATTAAATAAAATATTTCGTATAAAATTTATCATTCATTTTTGAACAAACTATTGATCAAATAAATAACATTATAAAACTATTGTTCCAATAAATATTTTAGTGTATCGTACGAAGTTAAATAGATGTGAAATTTTTCTCTGAAGTTAAAATATATTTTTCATCATATAATATATATGTATATTATTTTTGAAATTTTCTTCCAGTTCGTCGATCACGTACATCGTAGATCCTACGAACGAGCATTTAATGTGAAACAGACTGGTACTCTTCTACAACAAGCTGGACAACGGACAAACGAACGGACGGCTTGTCATTTGCATACAATGAACCCATGGTCGCGTTAACTGTTCGGGGATGCGGAACGAGCTACAAGTCACCTGGTACCAGTAATTGAAATGAGGGAAGTTCTTTGGAAAGGGTAGTTTCCATGAGATGATCATCTCGTTCAACACTGAGAGATAACTTATACAAAAAGATAACAGAAGTTGCAATATCAAACAAAAAGAAAAAAAACAGAAAAGAAACTTTCTGAATGGCTGTAATTGGAGAAAGAAATGTTGGTTATTGAAAAATATGATGTAATATTAATTGTGAAATATTATCTGTGAACAAATTGAATGAGAAAGATAAAGTAAGATAAAAGATTAGTTGAGTTAAGTTAATCGTTAGATTTTTCATTATTTCCAACAGAGGGAGGCAAGAAAAACCTATGTCGATGGTGAGTAAATGGGAAGAGAGTCCTGTTGGAAACGGTTAATAAGTCCCGAGAAAGGGGGATCAGATAAAGAGAAAGAGAAAGATAGAAAGGGAAAGTAAAAGAGGAGAATGGTGCGGTGCTGAAAAACCCCTTGAAACTTTACAGACTACGAGAATGAACGAAACGAGAGAGGATGAGTAGTCCATTGCTTTCTATGTTGCTGTTACTGATGTTCAGTATTAGTAGTAGTAGTAGTAGTAGTAGTGATAACGATGGGGTAGTAGGTGCCCACCCCCCTTTGGTGAGATGGTGCTGACATCGCATAGAGAGGGTAGAGTTTAATTAAATATCACACGACATATTATGGGGATGAGATAGACGCACAGTGTAGATTGCTCTTGCTCTTGCTCTTGCAAGTAAAACGTCAGGGACAGAACTCGATGTTGAAAAGTTCAAACGAATCGAACCCTAGAGAAGGTAGTTTCTGGACATTATCATTGAGTAGGTAACAACCCTAGACCCTGAACGATATTGGGTGTCCCGGAGAAGATGTCGAGACATTTTAGCTTCACTGAGGGGGTGTGCACTATGTGTCTCTGTCCCTTTCTTTTTTTCTTTTTTTTTTTTTTTTTACAAATATCGTCTACTACTACTATGAAAATTCCATTGGACTGACCCCTCGCACATATTTCCTTCTTTTCTTACAACCCACATTTTCAACACGTTTAACAATATAACGAAGTAACCGATAATTCGATTCGATTTTCGATCAAACAAGATAAAACTTTAAGAAATAAATATGAAAATAAATATAATAATATTATTCAATTATATAAATAAATATATAAAATTGTAATATACCATAAAAATAGTGAACAATTTAAACTAAAACTCAAAAGGATTTCTATTTTCATTAAATACGAGAAGAAGAACGTTGACAATTTACTCAGTAGTAAATCCAAAGTCACGTTCACATTTCTCAAAGGATTCTCTCTTACTTGTAGATTGTGTGCAAGGGACTTACTTATGTTAGTCCAAAGCTACTACCATCGTCACCACCCATCCAGGATCATAGAAGAAGAGAGAGAGAGAGAGGGCAAAAGGAAACGTTTACTCGTTGCGTTTACACAGTTTCTTCCAGCGGCTTGAACTCCTATCAACCAACCTTCCTCTTATCTTCCTTTCATTCCTATCACCACATCCTACGATACTCCACGAATTAAAAGCCCATGAATATGGTAAGGATGCAAATTCCAGGATGGTGTTTACTCGGGATCAGTGTTACTTGGCAATCTGCATATTTGAGTGTCAGTGAAACATTGAAATGAGAGAGAAAGAGATAGATAACTGTGTGCTAGCCCATGTCATACCCTATCAGTGTCCCTTATCTCTCTTTCTTTATCACGATCTTTCAGTCGTTGTTGAATAGGGTTGGAAAATCTAGAATTTAAACTATAGGTACTACCCATCATGCGAGATAACTATGGAAGTTAATTACAACTAGACGAGAGACATTTTCCTATTGAATACATCACTTAATTACTCGACTTGTTTAATGATCTGTTTCCTAATAACCAATCGAAATGTTTCTGCACAATCGATTACATTTTCCTATTACTCGAAGATAAATAAATCAAAGAGCAAATGATCGATAAATCATAAATAATTAATTAATAATAAATTCAATGTGACATTTAACTTGTGTGATCTATTAGAAAGAATTCTTTTGACCAATTTTTTTCAAAGTAATCAAAATGTCTAGTAGGTACACCTATTACAAAAGAAATTCTTAACAAAGCAAGATTCTATCGATAGATAATAAGAAGAAGCTACTTGAAAAATCTACGAACCATCTTCGATCTATCGTTGATTGTATAGATAAACCACTTGGTTCAATTCTATGAAGCTCTATAGTTATTTTAAACATTATTAAAGTATAATCATGAATAAGTTTAGAACAATTTTGTAATCCCTATTATCAACGAGTCACAATAATAATATACATTATATTTCAAAATCTTTAAGCTTACCTGTATATGGTCGACAATAATTGCGATTTATTTTGCTGTAAAGTGTTGGCAATGATGTTTCAGCACCTGGTTCAATGTAAGCTTTACTTTTGCTATCTCTAGGATCACTGTACTGTTCCACGATCTCAACTTCTGCCTAAAACACAATAAATAATATAATTTTTTTTTTTTTATTAAATAATATTACATTAATTTCATTGTATGATGTAATAATTAACATTTGTATTTGTATTACAAGTATATGGAATTATACAAATTAATATTATTTTACAAAATAATTACTTTCATTATTATATAATCGTTTGAACGAGTTA